GTACGTAAAACCATAGAACTGAAAGAGGGTGTGCTTTCTTTTTCACACGACTGTATAAAATAAAACATATACACATGCACACATCCTAAATAGCTATATAACCATGTTACTATTATAATTACTATATACCATTTACAGTTTACAGATACTATAAAATATTTTAAAGTATAAAAAAGAAACAAAACCCGTTATAAGAAAAAGGTGCCTTGAAGAGAAAAAGAAAAAAAACTTACTATACCTAGAAAATAAAAAATAATAATAAATACAGAGGAAAAAAACTCTAGAAAATGGGGAGGGGGTGAAAAAAAGAAGCCTTATAAGCAAACTAAAGTAGAAACTTAACCATACCTAGCTGATTTAGTTAAGTCTGTCTGTGAACCCTCCCAATAGGTCCTAGCAATTCATCTGGATTCCATACATGCTCCCAATGCATAATGGGCTGTGAGCAAACAGTAATCTTGGGAGACAGGAGGAAGAGCTGCAGCCTAGATAACACTGGGATCAACAAAATCTGAGTCCAAAGCAAGAATGGGGGTGGAGAAAGCATCTCAGAAGGGACCCCCACCCCCCAGTTCACTGGAACATAAAGGCAAGGGAAGGGGGAAGGTCTTTCAGACTCACAAGGTTCTCTTACTGTAACCTTACAATAAAGGTAGTGTTAGTACTCATGGTTTTGATTTCCTGTCTGGACTACCTCCCAAGGGCTGATAAAACGACTCTTTCATCCTTAGGGATGGAGAAAGGTGGCACCGCCTACGGCAGGTGTTGAACAAGAGGATGCTCAAGCCTTCAGAGGCTGTGCTATATGCAGATGCCATCAATGAAGTGGTGTCTGATCTGATAGTGCACCTTGAAGAGGAGAGAAGAAAAAGCTCCTCAGGAGTAAAAGTTGAAGACATGGCCAACCTATTCTACCGATTCACCTTAGAAGGTATGTTCATAGCTTGTGATGATGCTATGAATGAACTATGATTTCTCTTATTTCTGAGACTGTTCCCTGTGGGTTATGTTCTCGTGACTTGTTTAGCCACAGGTTATTGAATTAACTGAGTTTTTGGAGTTTCCATGACACCAAATGATAAAATAGCCACATGGACTATGTGTGCACAACACATAGGCTAAAATGTGCTGTGCTGTTTTGTGGTTCAGTGTGTCATATGAGCACAGCCACAATAGAGCTGAATATAAGATCTTGTGATTCTAGGCAGGATTTGGTTTGGCTTGGGTTTTAAAAGCAGGTAGGATCAAATATAAAGCTGAGCACTGTCACTGCTACATGTACGGAGGAGGAAATTGTTTTTTCCTTCCCCCACTGCACTCATGAAGAAAATTCCTTTTCTTAAGATGGTTAGTTGCATCAGGAGAAAATGTTGCATGCAGGAGTATTTTCTTTAGGATCACGGTAGAAGGGAAGGTTACATTCCTCCTGCTTAGCTGCTTCTCACTGTAGACACTGTAGGAGGAAAGCTGGGTTTGTCTGTGGTGGCCAAAAAGCAGGAGGAATCTGGTAGCACTTTCCTTTCTGGCTAACAAAGTTTATTAAAAGGCATAACCTGCAGCTTACTTCATCAGATGCACAGAGTGGCTAGATTGACATAGGATGGATGTAGGATTGAAATTTGGGTGAGGCAGAAGGAGAAGGGAGGGGAAGACCAATCTGCAGCTCACAAAACCTTATGTCTCTTAATAGAATTGGCTAGTTGGGAAAGGTGCTACCAGACTCCTCCTACTTAGCCACCCAATCCTGAGCATTATTTTCATTCCCCTGCCCTCTGGAAAGCTGATCTATTTGCATTTTTTAAAACATACCCGTTAAGTATAAAGAAGGTCCTGTCTAATCTGGCCTTTGTGAGTTGCTGTGGACAAGTAACAAAGGAAAGAAAAGTTGCCTATAGATCAAGCTGTCACATTGTGGAGATAAGGAGGAGGAAAGCAGGAACCGGATTGCTGCAGTATCATCACCAAATGAAGTTAGTGATTTTTTTTTTCCCCAGGAAGACGTACAAGGGATGAAAGTTGACCAGTGGGATTCAGCCAAAGCAATTGATCACAAGATTCAGTTTAAGATTTCCATTTTCATTTATGAACCTGAATTGTTGGCTAGGGCATTAAGGGAGCTGAAATGCAGCATCTCTAGAGGCCCTAGGCTGAAAGATGCCTTAACATGACAGAGCCTTCAGAACAGACAACATGCTTCCAAGCGGGGAGAAGACCACTCCCTGGAAAGTTTGAGTCAGCTGTCTAAAATGTTGCCTAGTTAGCAGTATGGCCACTGTATACCCTGCCCACTGGGACTGCCATCCATTCCTGTACTTCCATACAAATCAGAAGTGCAACTGTACACCCTTCATGATGGCTAATACCACTCTTCCCACATCACATTTTGATCTGACCCATTTGTTCCTAAACTGCAGCTTTCTTTTCCTAGTAACTGCCATTTTGCATAATTATATGACTCACCTGTATTTTCCACCTCCAGGTATCTCCTATATTCTCTTTGAGACCCGCATTGGCTGTCTGGAGAAACAGATCCCCAATGAAACAAAAAAATTCATTGATGCTATTGGACTTATGTTCAAGAATTCTGTCTTTGTCACCTTCCTACCCAAGTGGAGTCGGGACATGCTGCCTTTCTGGAACCGTTACCTACAAGGCTGGGATACTATCTTTGCCTTTGGTACGTGAGTGATAGGGATTTGAGAATAACTCTCTGGATTATCAGTCAAAATCAGTTTGATGTCATCCAAGGAGCTGACATATGTCTCTGTTCCTCTTGGGGAATTTGTATTTTCCCTAAGCTTCTTTGTATAGCCAAGGAATCAATGAGGATGGATGAAAGCCTGTCCATTATAATGGATAAGGTCTTGCTAGTCCCACTATTGTGAACTCTCAGTAACAGAAGCTGTTTCATGCTGTAGGGAAAAAACTGATTGATCAGAAGATGGTGGATTTAGAGAAGCGTCTGGAGCAGGGTGAGGAAGTTTCAGGATACTTGACATACCTCCTTACCAGTGGGCGGCTTAGTAATGAAGAGATACATGGAAGCATAACTGAGCTGCTATTGGCTGGTGTTGACACGGTAGGACATAAACTTCTTGTTCTTCCTATTAGGGTTCCCTGGCCAAAATATGCACTCGAGGAGCAAAAGTGATAGCAAATGCTTGTCCTGTTGGAGAGCATGTTGTCACCTGCTGATCAGCCTATATTCCTCACCGTGCTGCTTGAAAGCCCAAATATGCACTAGAAGCTTAAGAACACACTTCTGGAGCATAAATACACAGGAAGCTGCTTTGTACAAACTCAGATTCTTTTGTCTACTTGCTGCATTGTTTGTTTTATTTACTATATTTTCATACTACTACACTCCACAAGGCTCACGGTGATACACAGTCGTTGGCCATTTTGACTGGCAGTAGTTCGTGAGTTTCCAGAGAGGCTTTCCATCCCAGTTTCTGATTGTTTCACCCTCAGAAATGTCATTGTGAACCTGTTGCCTCTTCCATATAAAGCATGAGCTTTACCCCTGAACTATGAGCCTTCCCCCAAATATCTGGAAAAATCAGCTGTTACAAAAGGCTGAAGACCATCGCTGGGAAAGCAGCAAAATGGGTCTATGAGTGGATCAGTGGTCAGCCGTAGGCTGGACCTGGACGCTGTTCTTGCTCATGGAAAGGCCAGACAGACAGGGTGGCCGTGGCTGGGAAGCATTGATCAGTTGAGGCCTGATGGCTCTTGTTCTTCTCACTACGTAAGAACAAGGATGGGCAGCCATGCCTGGAGTCTGGAGGCCCTTCTTGCCACCCCAGTTTGAATACTCGAGAAAGACAAGCGGACAACTACTGTTAGTGAAGCTGGACCCTTCTCCAGGTGACAGGAAAAGGCAGACTCTAGGTATTTTGTTTTTCTGCTGCAAGAATAACAGCTTTGTAGAGGTCCACACCAGATCTGGGCTTGTGGCTTGTACACTGTGGATTACAACCCCTGATCCACAGATATTGGCTAATCCTAAAATACATGGCATGTTTCACTACCATTTCCTAAAGAATACTCACCTCCCAGGCTGCAATATGTTATTAGCATCCAGGAAGTAAAGTTTTGGTGCCCTTTTGGTGCCTTTCCTCCTACTCCATTTATTTTTCTCAGCCTTCCCCAATCACCTACCATCAAAATGACTCCTATAAAATAGATGGATATCTACAAGGCTCAGGAATATAGCTTACAGAAAGCAATGTAAATTGATAACAGGTATGTATCATACTATAAGCAGGTAACTGCAATCTGAACTATTGACTTTGAACACAAGGGGCTGGGTTTACATAAAACTGCAAGCCATTATTTAGTGTTCATATTTGCCATGAGCCATGATTG